TTATTATAAAAGAATCCAGGATATCCACTAAGCTTAAGGAGACCAAAGTAGGTACTTTAACAATTGGGGAGGGAGCAACACCCTTATCTCTGGTATCTGCCCCTGGGCACTTGTTCCCAAGACCATGGGACTCCCTCATTACTGCTGCGGGGTTCTAGAGGAGGATTGCAAGACATCTTGGAGAGAGGCTGGACTAGGTTTGCCCCAAATTCTAATCTGGGCTCTGCTGTGAGTTTCTTGTGACATGTGTTTAAAAATCCTTCTTGGTCTCAGTTTCCCCATCTATAAAATAAAGGAATTAGAGTCTGGAGTGCTGTGTGGATCTCAGCAAGGACAGAGGACCCTGGAAGTGAGCCTAAGACCTTGCCAGCCATGATTGGCTCACCCTGGAATTCCAGCAAGGAAAGAATACAGTGTTGGGGCCTGAGAGTTGGAAATGGGCAAGGATCCTAGAGAGCCCTGCTGTTGGTGTGAAGCATCTCCAAGATCGCCAGTTTCCCACCTATGTGTAGACTTGCCTAAGGTGGGTCTTAGGTTCTGCTGTGACTGAACCACCCCGCTATCAGGTGCCTGGTGGTCCTTGACGGCATGCGTACTTTGGTAAATTTCCTCAGACAGAAATTGAGCCGCTTCTGAATTAATGGACACCATTTTCTGTGTATGCAGAGGCTAAAACCTGGACTCAGGAGTCTCAAATTCCGCTCTAGTTTACCAAGCGATTTTAGGCAACGATTTGAACACTAGAATGCTCAAATTAGAAGCAGGATACCAATTTGTTTCAGAGCCAATTTCCAAATGAATCACCTCTCCCTAGAAGGCTGAGGAAGTTACGGAAAATAATCATGGCAACCGAAGGTCAGGCAGAAGTGAGAAATTGAATCAACTTCCCATCTCACCCCACACAGGGGCTCAAAACTTGAATCTTCCGTCTGGGTGTGACCTTGAGATTTTTCAGACCCTACTAGCCTGGAGTGGACTGACGTCTCCCCCTCCCCCAGAGTCTTTTTCTGGGCACCTACTAGATGCAAACCTCTATGTGCTACAGAGCGAATCAGAGACGCCTAAGACACATGGTCGACCTTGAAGAAGTCTGTCCGGCAGGAAGGATACAGATGATTAAATCACCCACCATGATGCAATGGGAAGGACTCCTAGCTCTTGCCTGAGACCTGCTCTTCCAGGGCGGGGTCTGGCTAGACTAGATCTCAAGGATAGAAGAGCAGATTAAGCTGTTCTCAGGGCCGCCTGCCACCCACCCACCGGCAGTCTTCTTCTCAGGAAGGCAGGCCCCTGACGCCCCTCCCCTCCAGCCCTGTGCATTTTGTTCCTCTTCGCTCACATATAGTGGTGGTGTGCTAACCAACATCATAAGCCTCTACCCTCGAGTGTCTTCTTAATCAGGCTCGAAGGGTGGGAAAGCTTCCAGTTCCTGGCATCCAGAGGCTGGTGAAAGCAACTTTGACTTAGGACTTGAACCCTGGGACCTTCCTGTGTGGCTTTGACCAGAACAAACCCTTTATGTTCCAGTTTCTTCATCTCTTAAACTCAGGAGCAGGGTTACAGAGGGGGGCCCTAAAATTTCATGAGCTGCGATGATTGACAGCAACTTGCTTTCCCTTTAACATTTGGGAGTTTTATTTTGCTTTTGGGTAACTAAATTTCTGAGCATATCTGGGGAAAGATGGGAAGTGAGGCCAGGACTGGGTGCAGATTGTAGTGATAGAAGCTGAGTTTGCGGTGGGAATAATGTATTAACAGAAGGAAAGGGGATGGGAGAGAGATGGAGAGGGAGGCAGAAGTGCAGTCTGCTGGAAGGGCCACTGCCCTTGGGAGTTGGAAATAAAAACTTTCATTGGTGCCACTGAATACCACAAGACAGAGGAATGTTGGAACAGCTGCCACCTAGCAATTCAAACCACCAAAATAGTGACTAGCCGTGGCTGTTCATGTTGGGTCGCCTCAGAGCTTGTAGAAAGATATGGTGGCAGGGACCTTTGGGCTATGAATAGAAGGGAGCCGGCAGGAACAGGAAAATCCCTGACTCACAGTAAAACCAGAACCAGATGTGACCATGTACACAAGAGCCAGGAGCAGCCAGCACAGCATGCCCTGGCCCCCACCTGCCTTCAGCTGGGAGGAGTTTCCCAGGCATCTGATGTGGCTGACCTGGCTCCTACGGTCCAGCTCTGTCATGCCTTCCCCTGTCAGCAGTTGCTGGGACTACTGATGCAGGCCACACAGAGGAGAAGGGCCTGCTGATTAAATTACCAAACCCTATTAGAAAACAGGGCAACTCACTCCTAATAGAATTTTTATGTCTCGTGATCTTCAATGATTCCTGTGAGATTTTGAAATCTCCAGTGTGGTGCCAAGGGTAGCATCTTCCCAAGGGTTCATTTTCCTGCAACAGCAGAACCCTCAAACACAGCTGTGTTCCCCGGGAAGGAAATGTGCTCTCTCAGAATAACAGAGCCTTCCTAATTTGTTTGAGAGCCACTGCGTTCCTGGGGTGGGAATGCAGAGAGAGAGGTTTCTTTAAGGAGGCATATGTGTGGGGATAGATGCGTGGGGTGGGTGGGGTGGGGTGGGTGTTCTCTGACACTACCATAGCTGAGTGTGTCTGTCACACTACTGTTTATTTTATACAGTCCCACTCCTCCCTCGTTCTCTCTCAACACATTACAGATCCCGACACGGGATGTTTGCACTGGGAGAAGCTGACAAATGCCTGCTCCGGGGACTCAGCTGCCACCTCCCCGGCAACCTCTCCTGCCTCCAGAAATCACTTGGGGTTCACACAGTCAATGCTGCACTGCTGGACTCAGAACATGACTTAGGCTGCAAAAGAATGTGCAGGGTCTTGCTGCATTTAAAACACCACCGGGTTACATGCATGAGGCATCTTGCCTTGCAAGAAGGAAGACGTCAAATGTGAAGACTAAACCAGACTTCAGGCCGTTCTGGGATGTGTTTGTCACCCAGTGGTCTGAGTTGGCTTGTGTCACACCATTCCAGCACCTCCAGGCACCAGAAAACAAATGAAGTTTTGTTTTGTTTTCAATTCGAGCCATTTCTTCTCTCTCTCATGATATCATCCCTGGAAGACGGAGACGCAACAAGAGGTGAATCATGTATCACTTTGCATCTCTTCTAGAATTACGTCAGCCTGAGAGCCCTGAGGAGCAGTGACAAAAGCCAAGAAGCCAAGAAGAGAAAGAGTAAAATGAGGGCCAGGCTTTGGAGGAAGGGAGCAGGTTCTTTTCCCATCTGCGGTGTTTTTCAGCTCCTCAGGCCACGCCCTACCTGCTACTCACAAATCAAATAAGAAAAAGAAAACTTTAAGGAGAAAATTGCTTTGTCCTTTTTGGTGGCGTTGGCTTTAATGTCTTCATCTTATCTACCTCCATCACTGTGAGAGCCAGACTAGCACATTGTCTGCCTAACAGTCAAGGCCCCCACTCCCAAGCAGTAGCCCCATCATCTCCACTGTCTTATGCCTTCATCCGCTTTGTTCGGCAGAGGAAGTTGGCAATGGGCAAATAATGAGAAATGCTAACTCTGTTGACCAGAAGAACAGCGGTCCAGGCAGCTACCTGCTGGGACAGGGAAGGCCACAGCTGGGTGGGATGTGCATTTCCTGACCTCCACCTGGACATTTAAAAATGTCATTCGATGATATACACCTGAGGTGTGCTGTGAGAAGGACGAGGACTCAGCCAAGCCAGAAGAGAAGATGAAACGGTGTGGCCTGTGGCCTTAAGAAGACACTGAGTATTTTTTAAAAAATATTACCCACCCCCACCTCTTTGCTTGTCTTTTTAAAAGATAGACTTATTGCTGAACCACTCCCATTACTGGGAAGAAAATTTCACCCTCCCTTCCTCTCTGAGTCCAGTGCATTCCAGTCTCCTTGGGCTCCTCGGGCCTAGCTGTTCAGAACATATTTATGAAGAAAACAAAGCAAAGTGGCCTCTGGACACTGGGGAAGGCCGGGAGTGAGATCCATTTCTGCAGCACAGGAAAAGAGGCCCAAAAGGGCAAATGGAAGAATGACCGGCAGCAGGCAGTTTTGGCAGCATCGTAATCCCACTTACAGCTGATTGGGTGTAGCCCAACTAGAGACATCTGGCTGGAGTTCACAACAGAAACAAACACAGAAAGCATGAACACCCTGCAGCACACACCCCCACACCAAGCCAACAGCTCCTCTGCTTTGTTCCCTGATGGGTTCCTACTGGGCCAGGTTGGGCTGTAAGGGAAGGAAACAGGCTATTTGAGCTGACTCCCCAAACCCCTCCTGGGTCATGACTCACTTCTGGGTATCTGGAACCTCTAACTTTTCTATTTGCTTCCCTCCCCCCCCCCACAGCAAAAAACAAAGCAGATCCCACTCCACAGAGCCCCCTTTAGGGTGTTAGTCAGTCCCCAAAGCACCATGGCAGGCTGCAGAGGAAAAAGATTATGTATTATGCTTGCACTTGATCATTAGGCCAACCACAGGAGGTGGGAAAAAAAAAAACAGAACATGGCAGTCACTCAGTAGACAGCCAGACCCCTCTAAAGAGCATGGACAATTGGGTTTACTCTGATCTCTCCAAAAACTAACTTGGAGAAAAATAGTCCATATGTCAGCATAGTGGCTCATATCTTTGATCCCAACACTTGAGAAGCAGAGGCAAGTAGATCTCTGAGTTCGAAGTCAACCTGGTCTTATGAGGAGTTCCAGGCCAGGTAGGGGGTTACAGAGTGAACCCCTGTGTTCAAAAGCAACAAGCAAGCAAAACCCCACACATACAATGAGAATATGAAATATTCAGAAGGGCCCAGACATAACATCTTGATTATCTGATTCAAAAAGAAAACTCTAGAAGACGGGTAGTGTGGTTTCACCTTCTCCCTCTCCAAGCCCCATCAGAACCACGCTAAGGATGGAGGCACACCCCCCTACCACCTTACCGCCAATCATCTTCGGCAGCATTTCCAGAGGCTGTTCTAACGACTTTTCCTCTTTATTCTCACCCCACTGACATGCAAACAGAACCAAAACAATGCTGCTCAAAAAAATAACAAAATGTTTTATACACATTTCCGTATGTACAACTGAACAACATTTTACAGCTATCTTTTGCACAGCAAAAGATATATAAACATTCAGCTCTGAGATCACAGTTATGTACAAAAAAAAGTCAAAAATACTTCACAAAGGTGCAAAAATATCTTACACAGCATCATGGAGTATGCTCTTTGGAACAGGAGGAAGGTGTGTATTTCTAGAGGAAAATTCCTTTTTTTTTTTTAAAGGTATTAGATGTCTTTAACTGTAAACAAAACACAACTTTCATACCCTGCCCCTCACCCCAGTACAGTTATTTGAGAAATTTGGCAATCTTTAAAGAGTTTTGAGTCTGAGGTAAACAGCCCAATATCCGAAAGAACTGGGGGCAGGTAATGTGGAGCCATGAAAGCCTCCAATACTATGAGAATGACTTTGTTAATGAGATATTGATGACAGAGGGAGGCCTCCCAGTCAGGGGGTCTGGAGAGGAAGTTACCCCTCCTTCCCAAGCCCCAGCTGCCTCACAAACAGGAAACTGACCGCTGGGCACCTCTAGCCCGCCCTTGGCCTTTTCCAACTTCAGCCAGCTTTCCCTGTCCCACACCCTCCCCGCCCCCTCACCCCCGAAGCAGGCCTGTCTGTCTCTCCTTTATAGTGCTTCTCTCTCCCTCCACATCTCCACACTCACAACCTGAACCACCTCAGAGCCAAAAGTGCTGGGGCAAGATGGGAGAGAAGCCCCCGGGAACTCCAAACCCAGGTCTGGCCCTCAGGTGCATAATTTCCCTTTCCCGGAGGTTAGGGGGGACAGAACTACAGCTGGGGAGCCACTGTGGGGTGCTGGGCACACGGAGTTTTCTGGGATCTTAGCTGGAATAGGGCTCCTCTAGGCTGGTGCTGTCAGCAGGGCCGGATGGGCTGCCAGAGGTGGCAGAGGTGGCGTCCAGGCCTCCGCCCTCGATGGAGCTCTCACTGCCCGTGCTCTCGCCCGACAGCAGGCGTGTCACCCTTAAATCGGACTCCAGGGTGCGCACATCATTGCCAAAGCTAAGGTCGCCCAGGTCACTAATAAGTTGCGACAGTTGGGCCTTCATGTCGGAGGCACAGCCTGGCGGACGAGGTGATGTCCCAGAGCTGAGGCCCAGCGAGACCCCGCTGCCCCCCAACGCCTCCTCGTGGCCATTCTCTAGTGGGTCCAGCAAGTCCCCACATTCCAAGTGCATAGCCACCACCAGCGCCCTCTGTGCCTCAGCTTCTTCCGCTGCTGGATCCCCATCCCCCACACGGTCCTCTTCTTCCTCGTCCTCCTCCAGGCAGCCCTCGAGATGCTCCTCTTCTTCTTCCTCCTGCAGCTCCTCCTCCTGCTGTTCCCCAAGCAGGTCCTCGGTGATAGAGCCTAGCTTAGGAGCGCTACGACTGCGCTCCACCGGCGGCTTGTAACAGCAAGGTCCGTGCAAGAGCAGTTTACGCAGCGGCACTAGCGGGATGGTGTGTGCACCCACCAGCTCCTGCTGCTGGTGACGCGCATCGTCCCTCCGCTTGAGACGTTTAAACTCTGCCAGAGCGTTGGCTGATGTCTGGTAGAGCAGCAGGGCCATGGCCTGAGCCTTCTCCGGCTTGGACACCAGCACCGCGTGGCAGCGTAGCATTACCGCCTTGTGCTTCAGCTCATGCCGGTACACCCAGGCAAAGACTTTGGGCAGCCGCGAGTCTGCCACACAGTAGGTGACGCGGTGCAGCAGGTAGAGGTGGCCGGGGCGCCGCAGCGCTCGTTCCTCGGCGTGCACCATGCGGATGCCTTGCGCGCTCACTGTCAGCTTCATCTTCGTGCCTTGACGGCCTGCCTCACTCTTGCTCCATATCTTGCCCACCGCTAGGTCAGTGCAACCGTCGCCGCGCGCCTGGATAGTAGTAGCATTACCCAGGTAGAGCACAGTGTAAGTGGGGTCTTCACTAGTGATGTGCAGCTTCTTGCGCTTGGAGCGGAACATGCTGCCCACCCGGCTGAGCGCGCCTTCCGGGCAGGCCCTCGCCAAGGAGCTGAGCGCAGAGTAGTGCAGGCTCACAGCGTAGCCCTTAGGCTTGGACGCCTGCCGCGGCGGCGCCTCGGCCAGCAGCTCGAACTTGTGCTTCTTCCACGGCAGCATCTCCGGAGGACGCCCGGGAGCGTCTGGGCGGCGGCGGCCGAGCGCGGGGTATGAGCCCCGCAGGGCCACCAGCCCCGGCTGCGTTTGGCCCGGGCAAGCCCGGAAAATAAACTCGAGCTGGGAGCACAGCCGGGACAGGGAGATGGAAGCAGGAGAGGCCAGATAGTGTTTGAGAACCCCGCAGCGGGTGGGGTAGAATCTTAGAAAGAAAAAAATATACAACTTTGAGTGTGCAAGAGAGGTATACACACGAGAGAGAGAAAGAGAGAGAGAGAGAGAGAGAGAGAGAGAGAGAGAATATGAATATATTACAGAAGCCTAGATGAGAAGGACCAGGACAAAAGTCTCAGACAAGCAACAAAATAAGAGAGCGGAGCGGAAAATGATTTTAGAAAAAAAACCATATGAGTGCGTGCAAATAAATAGAAGGGGGCCTCGGCCAAAGCACCCGGGCTGGTGAGAGAATAAGCAGGAACTCTTCTTCAGCGAACGTGACACACACACAAGTCTTGGGCCAGGGCCAGGAGCCGCGGAAACTACAGCAGTGCGCCCAGGAGCCGGTGCACCCCACCCTCAGTGGGTGCCGGAGAGGGCGAGCCCCTCAGCTGGACTGATCCCGGAATGAGCAGCTTGCCTCAAGTACCGTCCGAGTGGTCCGGCTGGCCGCGGTGGGCTAGGCACAGCAGTCCCGCGGCTCACTGCATCCTCGCTTCGAGGGGACGCCGGGGACTCGCGCTCGGCCGGCTTGGCCAGGGTAGCGCGGGGCTCCGAGGGCAGGACGCGCGCAGCGTCTGCTCCGGGGACTGCTGCTACCTCATTGCTTCCCTCCGGGGGTGTCCGACTCCGCTTCGGGGCTCTCGGCGGTCTGCAGCGCGCCCTCTGTGGTCTTACGCGCGGTGGCCGGCTAGCCCGCCTCACATCATTGCCGTCCGGGAGGGAGAGCTCGGGTTAATATAGGCCGGCGCGAACCATTCGCAGCGCGGACAGGGGAGGAGAATCCATAGGGCTGCGACGCCGGACGCATTTCTGGCCTCTTAAAGGGACCCGGTTACAAGCACTGGACTAGGCAAAGGAAGACTGGTCCAATTAGGCAATCCCGTCCCAAATATACCAGCATCTCTTTTATTTATAGAAACCACAAAGACCTGGAGTTACCCGGTAGCAAAAGGAACTTTGACACACCACCCTAGGCTAAATTGCAACTCCCTGAATAAATGTACATCTAGATCGAAACTTCTGGAGGAGGTGGTGGAAGATGAGATTGTAGACGCTATTTTCCTGTACGAAAAGATTGGGAAATTTTTTTTCCTTGTGTGACAACTTCAGGAGAATTTGCAGGGTCTGTTCTCTTTTATTCTTTAAAAGTCGTCTATTAAAAAAAAAAAAAAAACCCTAGAGCCAAGGCTTTAGTTGTTATTGTCTTGGTGCATTTATCCACAGGTGAAGTGCAGGCCGTGAAGAGTGGGTGGTAGGGTAACTGGGGTGAACAATAGTGAACACAATAGTGAACGGTCGCTACGTTAAGGGCTTCCAGTTCCCACCAGCCCCTCGGAGTGTGAGGCACTTTTTTGAGATGTATGGAATTGCTAGGTAAGGCTGCATTGCTGTTTGTTTATTAAATCACTAGTGCACTTTGGATGAGAAGTCTTAGGAAAATTCAAATGACATTTTTCATGCTTTTTTTCCCCATGTGCTAGCTGAACAATGTGGGGTCTGTTTGTTTACCCTTCTTTCTACTTTTTTCCCCTGTCCCTTGAGACAGGATCTTGCTATCTAGATCAGGTTTGCCTCAGACTCGTATCCTCTTGCCTGCAGCTCCAGAAATGTAGGCATGCCTCAGCATCCCTGGCTCTGGAACAGGTACCTTTTAGTCACCGGCCAGCTTGCCCCTCTGCCAGTAAGTTATTTCTGGGCTCTTGAAACAACCGACTTGACACTAAAGGCCATTCAGACAGACCAAGCAAAGTGAGTTCTGTTTGATGAATGAGACATTCGAGTGAACAGAAATAATTTTTGCTGGGCTAAATTCAGCCAGGAAAAAAAAAAACCAAAGTCCTCTGAGAATCTGGGAGAAGAAAGAGTTCACTGTGACTAAGAAAATCAAAAAGACTCACGGAGGAGTGATGTTTGAAAGATGATTTCACCAAACAGGAGGAGAATCGGAGGGCTTTCTGAGCGTAGAGGAGGCAAAACTACAGCCTGAACATGCAGGCATTTGTACAAGATACGATAGAGTCAATCATGGTAGCAATAAAAAATGTTTCCCCATCAAAGAGCTTTCCTGATAATGAATTAAAAACCCTCCTATTCTCTGGAGCAGTGGTTCTCAATCTTCCCAAGGCTGCAACCCTTTAATATAGTTTCTCAGGCTGTGGTGACCCCCCAACACACACACACACACACACAACCATAAAATTATTTTTGCTGCTACTTCAGAGCTATAATTTTGCCACTGTTATAAATTGTAATGTAAATATCTGATATGCAGGAAGGCCTTAGGTGACCCTTGTGAAAGGGTCATTCAACACCCCCCCCCCCAACATGACCCACAGGTTGAGAACTGCTGCTCAGGAAGAAGGAATGGCCCTTTCACGGCTGACTGGGCCTGTGAAGCTTCTTAACTAGGCTCCTAATGCCTTACTTGCTAGCTGTCTGAATGGGTTTTGGGAGGGGGGGGGAAGGGGACTCCAGACAGCTCTATGGAATGAACTAGAATGATAATAAGCCATCAAGCCATCACTGCTTTTTCTTTTCTACTGAAATGGCAGTGTCAATTATGATAATTTACAATCCAAAGAGCAAAACCATTCTAAAGGAAGCATCCCAACCTAGCCTCAGCTGAGTGGCCTTTTCCTCATCTACAATCCCAAAGTCTGCATTCTATATTCAAGCAGTTAATATTTCCACGTGGCTGGGATGTCTGGGGGCCAGAAGGACTTGTGGGAGGAAGAAGGGGACCAAGACCGGTCTCACGGCCCTGGAGGTACGGCCGTGAGCTACACACGGTGACCCAGAAACCAGAGAGGAACGATTATAAGGAAGCATCCCTTTGGCTACCACAACTCTTGGTAGCAGCCAGCGTGCCAGTGTCAGATGTACAGGCTGTGTCATGCCTAACTACCTATTTAATGAGCTTCTTTCGACCTTGGAAGAACAGAAGGGTTCTAGGTAAATGAGAACATCCCATATGTGAATCATGTCCAGAGCTTGTGCTCTTAACCCAGGAGGGAAACCTGGCTATCTCCTCCAGGCCTGGACCTGGGCCAGCCTCTGGGGACTGCCTACCTTGCCTTCTGGAGAACCTGGCCACCTTTGCTGAAAGCACGGATCACAAACAGGCTACACCTCCCCTCCGTAGTGGAAGACAGGAGGAGGAGACAGGCAAGAGTACATCGGAGATCCAGGGCCGCTCTGGGAGAGAACCTCCCAGAGTCCATTGAAAAACAGGCTAGACACTACGGCTGTACTTTTAATGACACTACTCCACCTAGTGGTGGCAGACCAAAGTGCCACGGGGTGAGGTGGTTTCTCATAAAACTGGACAGGTCTGTGATTGAATCGATAGAGCACATCTGAAAGGAAGTGGTGCCAGCAGGACTGCCGGGCTCTCATTTGGCACCTGAGAATCAGCCTTTTATCTCCTAGAGGGCTTTTGGACTGGCTCTCTGTCCACCTTGTGTTTTACATAACGTTCCTCCATCTCTACCCCCCTCCCCTGATGAAGGACCCACTAAGTGGACATTGACTTCAGGGGAGACAATGGTAAATCTGGAATATTCAAGTCCTTCGAAAATATTTGTTGAGAGTCCACTGTGGTGACGATGTTGCTGGGGATAAAGCGATAAAGATGTTTGGGGTGTTTGCTTTCCTGGGAGTGATAGCCCATGGATAACCAACACCAGAGAATAAAATACCAGCTAGTGATGTCGCTGGTGAACAGGTGGCGGGACTAGGAGTCAAAGTGGCTTCTTTCAAAGCAGGAACAGTGATAGCCTGAGGGAGTCAGGCACTCAAAGGGATGAGATGAACACTGGCCTGCACCAGCCAGGGAAGTCAGCATGTGCAGCTGTTGAGCACCCAGAGGTAGTGGCTCAAGTTGAAGTAAGCCTCAAGCATGCGTTTGATGATTTAGTAAGAAAACAAGTTGTGATGATTTTATGTGAATTTTATGCTGAATAACAATATGTAGGCTACAGTGAGCTCAACTGAGTGCATTGCACTGAGATTAGTTCTGCCTGTTCCCTTCCTTCTTTACTATGGCTATAGGATTACACACAGGCAAGTGTTGTCCTAAGCAAAAGGCATGACTAAGGTTTTGTAATGAGCTAAACCGGCTCAAGGACTTCCAAGCTTCTTCGTCCCACTCCGTAATCCTAACCTCCTACTCTTCCAGCCCTTTGTCCCTGATTCCTGTCACATCGGTTTTCCACCTTCTTGGGGTCACCAGCACCTACACTAGCATTAACGAGAGGACATTTGAGTCGTCGGAGGTGCTGCCCTTAGCAGAGGTCATTGGAGTTTGTGTGGGACCCCAGCTAATCTCCACCAGAGAGAATCGCTATGCAAGAGAAAGCCTGGCCCTCGGGCCCTTTCGCAGCTTCGTGTCTCACCGCATGCTTGCTCGGCCATGTGTAGGCTCTCTCACATGTGCCTTCTGCCGTGATATGATGCCGCCAAGGGACTTCTTGGCAGAGCTAGTGCCATGTTGTTTAGGTTTGGGCTTCCTAAACTGTGGGCTCGATAAACCATTTTCTTTTAGAGTAGCTAGCTTTGTGCACTTTGTTTTAGCAATGGAACACACGTTCGTCTTCTTGGAAGATGTCCCTCCACGTACAGTTGTGTTTCTAGTGCAACCAACCAGAGCTGAACTGATGCTTCCCCAAGAAAAGGGAAGCAGTTAGAGAGGCTTGGACTCGTGTCCCAACCCAACTAAGTACAAACAGCACATCTATGCGCGTGCCCACCTCTTTCCTAACGGCTCAACAGTCTCTCTTCTTTTGAGCCTGTCTCCTTCACCACGGCTCTGGGCTTGTATCTCTTCCTAGATTTAACCCTCGAAGTGGCTTCCCAGCAACTCCAGGCACAGCACCCCAACACAACACAGTAAGCGTTCTGATCTCGGGCCCCTACCTAGCTCCCGAGCCTCCTTCACCTTTCCTGGCATCATAACCTGTACTAAGGGATGACGGATGGCCTGGCCTTCCCCTTGGGCACCTAAGGCCGCCTCTTCTGTTTCTTACATTGTTTATATGGTACCATCTAATTGAAATAACTTGTGTCACTTCTCCTGGCTGGTCCCTAGTTTGTCTGTCCTCCTCTACAGCCTTCCCCTTCCCCTTCCTCCTCTATCTTTCTCCCTCCTCCTTTTCTTCTATGTTGGGAACTAACCTAAGGGCCATACTATGCAGAAGCCCGACCACTGTATTTCAGCTCCAGCCCTGGTACCCATTTCCAAGACCTAGTTCAGAAAATGAGCTGGTTTCCTGGTTCCTTCTCCAGGAAACATTCCATGTCTACCCGCCTCCTCAACCTCACTCGTGTTCTTGGTTCTAGCTCTTCTCTGGCTAACAGCAATGTCCTGGTGACTTCCCACTTTTCCCACTCGGCTGTGAGCTCCTTTAGTGGGTAACTGCATTTTAGCCACTGCAATCTCTGTGACTCCTAGCTCGGGCCTGCCGCCAGTGTACGGTCAATGTGTGGCATGTGAAATGGACACGAGCCACGTGACTATTGTCACAATAACAGCTGACAACACATGCTGCCGGAAGTAGAGAGCCCTTCACCACAATCTGTTCACGTCTCTCTGGTTTTATGACGTAACTGAGGCCCAGAGAGTGTATGTGCATGGCCAGAGCTGGGGCTCCCGTATGATTTAAATCTTACTTTCAGCCCCTTACTTCTGCTACCT